GCATGTGCTGGGCTTTAGATTTAAGAAATAGTACATCTGCAGAGTCGCCAATGTCACCTTCCAAGCAAAGGATGTTCAGGTTTAACAGCAGACAGCTGCAATTTCCTCTTGAGGCAGTCTGATATTTGAGTAGGAAAGTCTGCCTTTTATTTCAGCAGTCTCTTATTTTCAGCTGGATATTGAACCCTAAGCATTTGCTATGCCCGGTCAGAGCCGAGTTCCTGGGAGACGAGGCTGTGGCTTGTCTGAACGCAGGCGGGTGGGCTCTGCAAGGTGGGAGCCGGCAGGTGCAGAGGCGGGCGGGAGTCGGTCTGCTCTGTGCAGGGAGCAGCGGTGGAGAGGAGCGAGCCTGTCTCCACCCTCCTGGATGGGCGGCCCTGTTTGGGATCTCAGGTTTTGCTCCCAGCTGTGGAAGTGGCCTGAATTTTGGTGCAATGAAAAACAGGACAGCTCCTGCTGCAATCCGTCCTCACCCAGAATAGTTTCTCCAGTTTCCAGAAAGTGCACTGCTGGGGCCAGAGTGGGCAGCTGGCGCACAGCTGTGTAGGATGGCAAGAGGCTGGCACCAAACCTCATCAGTGTCATTGTCCTCGCTGAGCAGAGATGAATCCTTAATCGAAGCAGCCTTCACGTCCTGTCATTAGAGAATCTGCTAAATATGCACTCAAGTCGACTTCCTTTAATCTTGCAGAGCAAGGGCATCTAGAAGCCAGGTAGGGGAGCTGGGGCTCAGCAGAGGACGCCGCTGACTGCACCCTGGAGTGTCCTCTGCCCATCTGTGGCCTGTGTGTGAAGCTGCTGCTCCCAGTGCGCACAGAGGCCCTGCCCCAGTCTGTCCTTGCTCTGGGAGGCCTGGCCTAGCACAGCCCCAGTGGCAGGCAAGCTGCCAGGTGCCAGCCCTGTCCTCAGGTCACTGGTGGCTGGACCCACAAGGAGCACAGGCAGTGCACTGTGGCATCACTGACAGTGATGGCGGGCAGCAGGGCACAGGAAGAAGCTGACTGCACTTCCGTGAGGCCCCAGGCAGGAGGCTGCATGTGCCTGCACATCCTCTCTTACCCTGTCTGGCAAGCACGGGAAGGTGGAGCTCCCCCAGAAAGCCAGAACAAGGTCCTTTGCTGCAAGGGACCTGCTGACACCAGTGTCTGCCAGCAGGCATGGTGACTTGGATCTGAGTTCAGGAGGCTACAGACCCTCAGGCTGTGCAACCGGCAGCCCCAAGAGGCTGCGTGTCCTGCAGGCCTTGGGAGTTACACTGTGGGCCCTGAAAAAGGCCAGTGTGGGATAGGACAGGTGGCTCTGAGGCCAGGCCTGGAGGAGGCCCAGGGTATAAGAAGACCTGAGGGTAGCCAGGGCCGTGGACCACGTGCCTCGGGTTCTGGTGCTGTCACCCAGTGGCAGAGGTTTCAGATTCTAGTCTCAGGGCGAGGAAGCAGGAAGCACCCTACAGCAAAAGAGAAGAGCCCCAGCTCCAGGAGCCTTCGGGAGTGGGCAGACAGCTCCCAGACAGTGGTCAGGGAATAGAAAGAGGACACCCAGCCCTGCTGGCTCTCACTTTGGTCCTGCTAGTCACTGCCAGCACCTGTACACACTCATGGTTCCGCATCCAGCTCATTTGAGAAGCATCGTGCTGGGGAGGCAGGCGCGTCATGAGCCACTGGGCCCTGAGGGCAGAGGCAGGAAGGCCGGGAGTGATGAAGCATGCCCTGGTGAAGCACCGGGAGGCACAGATATACATGCAGACACACACCAGAAGGCACCATGTGTGCAGCACAGACGGAGGGAGCCACACGGGTGAAGCTGCTCTTCAGGGAGTGCTGTGTGCGGTGGTCCGTGCCTCACACCAAGAAATCCGTGTTTTCCTGTGAGAAGTTCCCTTTCCCAGTGTACACATTTTCTCTTCCACCTACTGCTTCAAAGGCTTAACTGAATTTCATTACTTCCAAGTTAGTTGTAGAGACAAACACACCTCACACACAAAGATAAAAACTCGCTCAGCATGGTGTCCTCATTGGAACTTCCTCGGGAGCTTTTGTGAGTGTTTGTAAGAAAGGAAGATCTGCTGGAGGAGATTCCTGCCCGTAGCTACTGCCACCGCGCAGAGAGAGGAGCCCTGAGCGGGGGTTCAACAGACCAAGGGCAGAGGCCCTTGTCCCGTGTCTGCACTGTGCAGTGCACCTGCAGCGTGCTGGGGCAGCGTCCTGGCGTGTGCCCAGAGATTCCCTGGGGTGCCTTCTCCACAGCTCCCAACAGACAGGAAGCAGGTGGGTGGGGGGAGGAGGCGGGCTCCCACAGAGGCGGCAGTTAGTCGGTGCGCCCCAAGCCCCCGCGCCTGGCTGTCCCTGCCAGAGCTGCTGCACAGACCCTGGATCTCATGGGAACCTGGAGGTGGCCACCCTGTCACCTGCAGTCACTGCCAGCTGAGGGGGTCACAGGGCCAGCATCCTGCAAAGAGAGCACAGCGTCCACCTGCACCTTCCACCGGATGCACCTGCTGGCGAGATTTGTCTATAGAGAACAGAGCCCATGTCACCCCTCGGGGTACTGTGTCTGTCCTTCCCAAGTCCCTCTGCCTGGGCTGTGTGGCCCCTGCCACCCCTCTCAGGGTCCTCTGTGCCCTCTCTGCAGCAGGTTGTGCCCTGGGCTGCCGCTGTGTGGGAACACCCTGTATCAGGAGCCAGGAGCCGGCGCAGAGGGGCGCAGCACAGAGGGGCCCAGGTATATGCAGGGCAGCGTCCCCAGGCTCCAGCAGACTCTGGGCACAGGCTCCCCGCTGGAGCCTGCAGGCTTCCCTGACTGCTCTCAGGGAGAATCCCCTGCCTGAGAAGCCCCACCCTGTGTACCAGCTTGAGTGTGAGGGTAGAAGCACCCTCCTTTCCCTCTGGGTGCTGTGTGTCAAGTCCCCTCAGGAGAACTGAGTTTACTGCCTGGGACTCTCACCTGGGACCCGTGGAGCTGCCTGCCTGTCCTGGGCAGCAGGCGTGGTGCCTGCCTGTCGCCAGCCCTGACTAGCACATCTGATCTGCATTGGTCACTGCTGCAGGCGGCGCAGGAGGCCCTGCTGCAACCTGGCCGGCAACCGCATGGTGTGCACAGCCAGCAGCAGGCTCTTTCCTGTTCGGAGCCTGGACCCCTGCCTCCAGTCACTGATTTGTGTGGTGCTCTGCACGCTTAGCACCAGGCGGGTTTGGAAGAGGGTCCATGCTGCTTGATGCAAGCAGCCTCCTCCTCTGCACCCAGGAATGGGTGGTGGGGCCCTGGGGTCGCGCCGGCAGTCCCCAGCCATCACGAAATCCCAGTGTCTAAGAGGAGTAAGTGATAAAGTGAATTCACCCAGAAAGTATCTGAAGTGAGCGGTCTGGAGAAGGGAGAGTCCACCGGGAGTCAGGGCAGTAAAAGACGGTTTCTCTGGTGATGCCTAAAAGCCGTTAGATGCGTCTGGCTCTGAGTGAATGGTCTCCAGAGTTGTTCAGTCGATGGCTCTTTTCTACCTTTGCTAAAAAAAAATGTGCTAGAAATCTGCATGGGCTGTGGCACTATTAATTTTACACCCCTGATTAATCTTGTACACACTGCCTTGGCACCCTAGCCTCCCTGGTGGGAGAGGTTGAAGCCCTGGCATCCCAGCACCTGAACAAGGCTCGCAGAGCCACTGTCCCCTACCCCAGCCAGGCAGCCCCTGTGACCCAGGAGCTGCTTGTCCTCTCATTTTCGGGGTAGCAACGTTGTTTCTCTTCACATGAGCACCGTCAAAGAGGAGCCTGCAGACGGGGGGTGGGGGAGCGCGCAGCTGAGGGCCTCTCTCAGGTCCCCCATGCCTTCCGATGTGTCTTGCCCACGCTGCCCAGCAGATCAGCGCTGGAGGCCTGGATGCTGGCCTGACAGTGGTGTGCACTGGGGTGAAACAGAGCCCGACAAGACCATGGGCTCTGGTCAGGTAGAAGGTACCCTCTGGCCCCGCACATACAGAGCCTCCTGGGGTGGGGGCGCAGGAGCCGCTTGTCACACCAACACAGACAGGTGCCCCTCGGCCTCCCAGAGGCAGCACCAGATATGGACCCGTCCCAGGAACTCCCTGGCCATCTTTCTCCTGCTGCAAGTTTTGCCTGAGGTAGGGGAGTCCTGACCTCGGGTTCTCTCGGCCTGATGGACCAGAAGTGCACAGGAAGGGGCATGGGAGGCCACTGCCGACGCTGGGATGCCCTGAGTGACCACGTCCCGGCCTTCTCCACACCACAGGCCTCGCACCAGCCCCGTTCTGTGTGCTCTGTCTCAGCCGTCACGCTCGCTCCTGTCATGGCAACATGGGACGCTGACACACAGCTCACATGCACTCTGTAGAGGGTTGCACCCTTGTCTGTGTTCGTGTGTGTCTGTCTGTCTGTGTGTGAACTTGGGGGAATGTGAAGATCTGATGGGGAACGTGTCATTGTCACTTGTCCTCCACATTGCATCCTAGCTCAACTACCATGCGTCTGTTTTCAAGGAGACACCAGGTGAAGCTGTCTCCATGGAAACTGTGCTCGCTGAGTAGTGCCCGTGATGTCTCTGAACAAATGGGAACACGGCCGTCTGTGGCCTTGCGCTCTCCATGGTGTGGTCTAGGCCAGGTGGCTCTGTAGGACGCCTGCTGACAGTGCAGAAATGGCTGCAGCTGATTTATGCTGGAAAACTTGAGTGATGTTTTCTGTAAAGCACTTCCCAGTGCAGACAGAGCCTCTGGGGCCCCAACCCACCTGTGTGTGTCAGCAGCACACAGAGCCGCAGCTAGAGCCCACGGGTGGTTGAGTGGACAGTGTGTGTGGAGAGGGGAGTGTGCGGGTGGGCACTAGTGCCCAGGCCTGTCCCTGGACACAATGACGTAATGCCTCTGCAGCATGCCCGCGGGAGGCGAGGTTGGGCATCGTGCCACACTGGCTGTGGTGAACCAGTGTGCTCACGCGGAAACTGTGGGCCATGCCAGAGCCACAGTAAGTGTGACTTTGTTTCTGTCTTTGCAGAGGAAGAAGGTGGAGACCTGGCCCAGCCGGGCCTCAGCTTCCCGGGGCCCACAGAAGAGGACCTAGGTAGGGTGCAGATGCCACATGGGCCCGCTCTGCATTCATGCCAGGCCCCATGGCCGTGACAGGGTCCCAAAGGAACTGAGGCAGTGGGGCCACACTGCTTTCAGAGGTGCTGTGCTGGACACCTGGGAGCCCTCAGTGATGGGCAGAGGCCGACGTGGAGAGGCCCTTCCCTTGACTCCCCGCTGCTCCCTCCAGGCGGAGCTACAGCCCCTCTCAGCTGCTGGGCAGTGCGGTCCTGCACTTCCTCCCATGGCACTCTGGGTGGTGGCCACATCCGGCCGTCCCACGCCGGTCAGTCACATGGGGACATCACTCTCACCCACCACAGATGATCACTGCGCTGATCACCCAGCATCAAGCAGCACTCGGAGAGAGCCCAGGGGCCCCGGGCTCTGCCTGTGGAGGGGCTTGCCTACGTGGTCCTCCACGCCCTGTCCTGCTCGCCGAGGCTGTGGGTGGCTCAATCTGGGGCCGGCTTGCCCACCTACATTCAAGTTGGTCTCACACCCTCAGGCCCTGAGCCCGTGGCTCGTGGGGTCAGCATGAAGAGCAACCCAGCGGGGCTAGAGAGCGTGGCTGCTTCTAAAGAAATCACAGCCCAAAAGAGTTTGCTTTGGGCTTAAACTTATGGAAACTTGTAAAAGGTGGAGTCAAGAGGGGCAGTGTTTCGGGCATGGGGACCTCGGTGTCAGCTCACAGCCAGGTCTGTGGCCTGGCTGGCCATGTGGGGAGGGCCACAGAGGGGACCTGGGCTGCTCGTGGTGGGGACTGGCCTCTCTGTGTTCACCAGCAGCCTTGGGAGCCCCCGGCTGGCCCCATTTTGGTGCCATGCATAAGCCTCCTCTTGCAGGGAGAAAGGGCAGCGTTTTGCCTCCTCTCTGAAAGAGGAGGGCTGTCTGTCTCCTGGGACAAGAGTTCAGCTATGTGCACGTCTTGTGCCTGTGGTAGCCTGTGTCAGAGCTCCCTCCCTCTTTGGAGCTGAGTTGTACCCCACAGCAGAGCCCACGCCCACTGTCTGCATGAGTCGCCTTCAGAGGCTGCCATGGGCATCACAGTGCACGTGGGCGGCTGCCCACCCACACACTGCTATGTATGCAGGTGTGGAGAGTGGACCTGGCAATGGTGCCAGCTTTACTCTGCAACCGACGTCAGAGTGACGCACGGGGTGTTACCTAGAGCCTTGTCCCTGGAGGCAGAGCTTGGGGTGGCACAGGGGTCAGGACTCCAGTGCTGGCCTGAGGCCCAGCTCCAGCACTGGGCAGGCTGAGGTGGCTTCCAGGCGCGTCAGCGATGGTGGCAGAGAAGCCAGCTCTCAAGGCCAGCACGCCGAGGATGCTATGCCTGAGCTCAGCCTGTGACACAGGGCAGTGGTGTTATAAACACACTTGTGTGGCCTCGCTGTCACCACCATTTGGCATGCAGCTTGCCATCTTCCCTGACTGAAGCAGCACCCCCAGACCCCACTCCCTGCCCCTCACTGGAGGGGCATCTTGCCATGACTGTCTTTGGGAGTGCTCCACATGGTAGCCTGTTGGAGCACCCTTCATCAGGGCTGAGTGGCACTCCAGGGTGTGGCTGGACCACCTTCACACAGCTGCTTGGGTGGCTTCTGTGTTTGAGCCGTTGTGTGCAGAGCCAGTGGGAACACAGCACATGCTGAGATATGGCGTCCCTGCCTCGTATGGGGTACCCATGTGTGCTTTGTGAGGACATTCCACACTGTTTACAGACAGACGTGTTTGTGGGCCCTTCCTACACCCTGGCCACACAATGGTCAGTGGCTATGAAAATGAGCCAGGTCCCGAGGCTTTGGGGAGAAAGCAACAGGAGGGGTCAGTGGCCACTGACTATGGGGACCCCTGCAGTTCCTGCCTTCCCTTTTGAGGGGGCACAGTGGGGTTGCAGTGGGCAGGGACGCCAGGTCGACATACTACAGATGCAGGAGAGGAAGAGTCCCGGAGGGCATTGGCCACTAGGGCAGCAGTGCCTGCTCCTGCTGGGCCAGGCTCCCGAGCAGCAGGCAAGCAGGAGCCCTGCAGCCAGTGCCCAGCCTCTTCCGAGGAAAGCACCGTATTTTATTGCTTTTTTATTTTTGTGACTTTAGAAAGTTATAATCAGCAATCAAAAGCGCCTCGGCGCAGTGCGCAGCACGAAGTTAGGCCCGCGTGTGCGCCATGAGGCGGCTGAATGGTGGGGCTCAGCCCGCAGCCTCCCTGCCCGGGGTGCTCTGTGCTGAGAGCTTTCAGGCAGCGCCTGTGCAGCCTCCCAGGACACCACATGCCGTCAGCAGCCTCAGTCTTACATTACACTGGGCAGCGCCTGACCCCCCACAAGCCCCAAACCACGTCCTCCGACCACCACCACCCCCGCACGCTGCCTCTGCCCGCTCCTGGCTCTGTTGTGAGGCGGGGTTTCCCGCGCAGACCTCATTGTCCACACCCACTCACCTCTGAGGATACGGGTTGTTCCTGTCCCTGGATGATGTGTGGACTGGGTGAGAAGGCGGTGGCAGCGGGAGGTGCCCTGGGAGTGCACACCTGGGAGCGCGATGCTGTCCTAGGCAGTGATGTGCGCCCAACAGAAAAGTGTGGCACTGTAAGGAAAAAAGCAAAGATGAAGTTAGGAAAACAGAAGGAAAGGGAAGGGAGGAGGGGAGAGGAGGGGCAGATAGGCGGAGGGAGCAGGGAGGAAGTACGGGGGACATTCCCAGCGTTGTTACAACTGATCAGGAATAAAGAAAAATTTTATTCTTCCCAGCGCGCTTCCCATATCTCGGTCATGAGGTTGAGGCAGGTGTCTCCTGGGTCCCCTGCGTGTCTCACAGGGATGACCCTGTGACTGCTGGCCAGATTTCTGCCCTGCGCTGTGGCTGGCGCTGCTGTGATAGTTGTTCTTGAGTCCAGGGCGTTGTCGCAGGAGAAAGCCAGAGGGTTGTGTCCCCCTCAGGCCCCCTCAGAATACCAAGCTCTTGTTCCACAGCTTGCTCTGTCTCTGAAAGCTCCAAAGCAAGATGCGTCACACTGGCTGAGAAGCCCGGGCCTCCTCTGAGCTTGGTGGAGCGGAGCAGAGCAGAGCGTCGCCCCAGCATCACTGGCCCTTCCCCTCGAGCTTGTTGCTCTCGCAGGAGCTTGCTGAATGTCAGGTGGGAGAAGCGGCATCGGGTGGGTACAGTGGCCTGCAATGTAGGGGTACGGCTCCTCCAACGCAGCAGTCACTGATAAGTCCATCAGAGCCATACCTCAGACGGCCACAGAGAAAGCCCTCCTAGGGGCCCGGGGTGTGCCAGCTAAATGGCCCGTTGACAGTACGTGGGTGTTCCATGAACAGTGCCACTGGGCACAGATAAAAGAGACCTCCTAAAATACCTTTTGTGCTGAAGCCAGGGAGATAAGCTCATTGGCATAAGAACCTGCCTGGCAAGTGCAGGGTCCTGAGTTCAATTCCTGGTACAGAAAGAATTGTACTGGGCATGCACAAACCTTTATTGGTCATTGCTCCTGAACGCCACAGCATGACGGTTCCCAAAGCCTCTCCACGGTACTCGGCCCTGTGTGTCCCTGGAGACAACTGAGCTCCACTGGGGGCGTGTTCAGGTCACACGCAGACCTGGAGCATTTCACTCTCAGCCTCTGGACTCTCCAGGGTCCCGGGACCTGTCCCTGCGAACCCCAGAGGAGCCCAGGTCCCTGAGCACAGAGGGTGAAGCTCAGCGAGGGCGATGGCTGCAGGGTGCGTACGGAGCTGCTGTACGGACCACGTCATGCGTCCGTAAGCTTATTGTAAAGTGCAGTGGTCCTTCAATCACAAACTGGGTTCTTTCCACGATTCTGGTCACGAATCCGAGTTGGATAAGAGCCGCATCAAATTCAGTGTTTAGGTTCAATGTTGACCTTACGGAGAAATTTGATTTGTTTCTTGTCCAACTCAGTTTGTGACCAGAAATCTGGAATGGATTAAGTTCGTGAACTGAGGAAGCACTATAAAAAGGAAAGTAACAGATTAAATACTGAAGAAATATTAGGCACCTGTTACCTGAGGCCCAGCACTGAGAAGACCGGCAGCTGCGCAAGCTAAAGCCACTCGTGTTTCAAGGCAGGGTCTGCCCATGCTGACAGCGTCCCCACACGGGGCACACCGGATGCGTTCTACTGGGTCACCACCCCACACGGCTGTCAGTGCCCCAGCAGGCAAGCATGAGTCCTCTCCTGGGAGTCGTGTTCATCTGACTTAAGGGGCCTCCCCACTCAGAAGCAGCCGCAGCCATCATGGCCCTGCAGCTCGGTGACGCTGAAAGCTCACAGACGCCCTTCCGGGGCACTTCCTGGACACAACTGTGCTGACCCCAGACAGGAAGAAGGGGCAGCCTGCCACCCCACCAGCGCGTCCCTGGCCCTGGACTGAGGCCCCCAGCCGCCCGACCCTTCCAGCAAGAGGTGCCCCGCCCCAGCTCCAGCAGTTCAGATGCACTGGGGACGTCTCCCGGGCATATGACACAAGTGTCATGCCTTGGGAAAGGAAGCGCTTTCCAGCTCCTTGTCCATTCACCGATGGACTTAACGGGACAGGTCCACTTTAGGGTTTTATTTCTATACTGAAGAAGCAAGAGTGGCCTGAAGCCATGGATTGGTGTCTATAGAAGTGAAGAGGTCGGGGTTTCTGTGAGATTTCTGGGTTGCGCCCCTAACTTCACTCCAGATGCCAGCTGTGACTTGCAGGCCTGTGGGCCTGCTCTGAGGGACAGACCTCAGTGCCTTGCCCGGGACAGCCCCTCAGCTGCCAGGAGCCCTCCCAGCCTCAGTCATGCAGACTCGGCTCCAGGGCACACCCTTCTGCACCAGCCCTGTGACCTCAGCTGCAGCTCTAAGGCCCACATGTCAGGTGTCAGAGGACACCAGAGGCACATGCTCGGCCCCAGTGACAGTGAGCCAGCACCATCAGAGGCACCGAGTCTGCTAAAACTGCAGAGAATCAAAGGCCAGGCACAGGCAGAAGGGAGGGTG